GATACACCTACATACTAGCATGCTAACACTTTTGAATTTAAATAATAATTTATGTATCTTAAAATATTTAATTATTTTTTACTCTACTTCACAATTATGAAAAAGGATAATTTTACTATTTTACTATTTAAAAATTAAAAAACATAGAGAAACTTCTCTGTTTATATTTTTTTTTCTTAGCTGTTTACTTTTTTTGAAAAAAACAAAAGAGGTACTCATCCAAAGTTTTTTTTTAATATATTTTTTATGTTTTTTAAAGTAAAATAATCATTACAATATAATAAAGAAACATGTTTAATCATTTTATTTCCAATTAATTTTGCAATGACGAAGATAATATTTTAAAAAAATATATATTTATACTATTCTAATTTATAGTATTTTAATTCATAGTATTTTGTATCTAAAGCCACAATAAAAATCAGATCTCTTTTAATATGTTTTTAATAGAAAAACCTTATTTTTTTTTATCAAACATTGCATTGGAGATTTTTTTTAAAAAAATAAAAATTAAATTAACTAAATCAATTAATGTAAATCTTGAACCTATGATCCAATTTGGATTTCATAACCATATATGATTTCATAACCATGTTTTCTATGATTCTTTCAACCATCCAGGATAACTATTTGTTTTTTCTAACTGATTTTTTTTGGATGATAAATGATAATTAACCTTAAAAAACATTAATACTTTTCTATAAGTATTATATTGACAAAAAATAGTTGTTAAAAATAATCAAAAAAGTTTTTGAAGTGTTTGAGAGGGTAATAATAATTAATTTTTTTAAAAAATATTTAAAAATATATCAAAATAATATATTTTAATTTTAATATATCAATTATTTAAAAATTATTTTTTTTTAATTTTTAAAAATTCTTTAATAAGAGATGGGTCAAACACCCGCATTAATTAGGATACGAAAGCTTGATAAAATAAATAAATAAATTGTTGTAATCGGGAGTATTTTTAAAGTTTTCCCATTTTCTCTTCTCTTCTCTTCCCCTCGTCACTGGCTCACCAAACAACCCCACCTCCACTTCACTAAAACGGAAAACAAAATGAGAAGCCCGAACAACAAACCCACCAGAATCTTCTCTCTTCACCACCACAATACACCACCATGCACCCGCTCCCACCAGATTGGCGCTCTCCTCTTAGTCGCCTCCACTTTCTTCCTAACTCGCCTCTTCGACCACCCGTTCACTACTTGCCCCCCCTCCTCCTTAAATCACGACCACGCATCACAAAACGTCGTTCACTTTTCCGACGACGGATCTCTCTCCTGGCCCCAGATGGGCTACGGGACCCACCTCTCCCTCAAGATCTACGTCTACGAGGAAGACGAAATTGACGGATTGAAGGAACTCTTGCAAGGCAGAGAAGGAAAAATCTCTGCTGATGCTTGCGTTAAAGGCCAGTGGGGCACTCAGGTAGTTTCTTGCAAACTCCAAGGGCTTTCAGCTATTACTCATTCTCTTTTTATAATTTTATTCGACTCAATTACAGGTTAAGATACACAGGTTATTGTTGCAATCGAGATTTAGGACTAGAAAGAAAGAGGAAGCTAACTTATTCTTTGTGCCTGCCTATGTTAAATGTGTACGGATGATGGGTGGTTTGAATGATAAGGAAATTAACCACACTTATGTTAAGGTAATTTTTTTTAAAATTTAAATAATACTTTAATTCAACCTCAAGTGTAATTTTTATTAGTGATGTCAATTTTTCAGGTATTGAGTCAAATGCCCTACTTTAGAAGATCAGGAGGACGTGATCACATTTTTGTCTTCCCTAGGTATATAACCATTCTTTGGCTTCAACTTGAATTCGCTATGATTTATTAGAATGCTTATTGCGGTGATTCTCTTCGTCTATGTTTCTTGGGATGTTGACGTATATGTGCTTGCTTTTGTGCGATTGCAGTGGTGCCGGAGCTCACTTATTTAGATCTTGGGCGACTTACATTAATCGTTCCATAATTCTTACTCCTGAGGTGCCATTCTTACTTCTCGACATGCTACATTTACCTGCTTGAGTTGTTGATATTTCTATATGGTCCTAATTCTGTGTGATTTTGAAGCTTGTGGCTTTAAGAATGTCGGGTTGTGTGTTAGTGTAGGGGGATAGGACTGATAAGAAAGACACGAGTTCTTTTAATACATGGAAAGACGTTATCATTCCTGGGAATGTTGAAGATGGGATGACTAAAAGAGGGGCAGCGATGGCTCAACCTCTACCTTTGTCAAAGAGGAAGTATTTGGCGAATTATTTAGGCCGTGCACAAGGGAAAGTTGGGCGCCTGAAGTTAATAGAGCTTGCAAAGCAGTATCCACATAAGGTTTATTTATTTATATATTTATTCAGTTTTTGACAATTAGATTAGGTATGTTGTGTGATGTTATGTGATTTTGTGGTTACCCATACGGGTTTGTCTTGATGTGTAGAAGAACATATCATAACTTTCATTGTTGATTTAGTTTTGGTCTCTGTATGAACTTGAAGCACAAATTCTGAAATGTTCATATGGCTCAGTGTCCATCTTTTTTGCTTTTGAAGCTGACCATGCTTAGCTAATCTGTCATATATAAAACATGAATTATGTATCTGTTAGAATAGTCATAGTAGGAACTTAACATTAGCCTTTTCTTGTGCTCACTTCATTGCATATTTTTGCACATGCAAACTGAATCCAGTCAATGTATTTCTTTGGCGGTGACTTCAGTCTATGATTGGATTGGGGACACTTGTGCATTCCTTTGGCAAAGGAACAGAGTCTTTATGAGTGTTTGTGGGTTGTCACTTGTTTGTGCATTCTGTTTAACATACTCAGCCTTGTAAATTTGTTTCAGTAGGATATTCTCCATCGTGCTTGAGATGAAGATTACTGTTAATGCTCATATTTGTTTGTAAGTGATATAGCGAATGCATAATGACATCATAAACAGTTGGAATGTCCAGAGTTGAAGTTCAGTGGTCCTGAGAAATTTGGAAGGATGGAATATTTTCAACACCTGCGCAATGCAAAGTTCTGCATTGCTCCACGTGGAGAGTCTTCTTGGACACTTCGGTTTTATGAGTCTTTTTTTGTGGTCTCTCTCTCTCTCTCTCTCTCACACACACACACACACATGCAGGTCAGTTAAAGTGATTCTATGTATTTGCTAAACAGGAGTGTGTCCCAGTTATATTATCAGATCAAGCAGAATTTCCTTTCCAAAACGTGATTGACTACACCCAGATATCAATCAAATGGCCATCTACTCGAATAGGGCTGGAACTCTTGGAGTATCTAGAATCAATTCCAGGTTAAATTAAATATGATTGCTTCTTCCATGTTTTGGATACTGTCCTGGGTCATGCAGTTAACGTTGAGCTTGCTTTTCAGATGAAGATGTAGAGCGGATGATAGCTGCAGGTAGACAAGTAAGATGCTTGTGGGTATATGCTCCAGAACTTGAGTTGTGTTCTGCAATGCAAGGAATAATGTGGGAACTTCAGAGAAAAGTACGGCAATTCCACCAATCAGCTGAGACATTCTGGCTGCACAATCGAACTATTGTTAACAGAAACATGGTTGAGTTCTCAAGCTGGAAGCCTCCCATGCCTTTGCCTTGATCATTCTTAAATGCTTGTGGTTCCTTAACATCACTGATTCTTTGATTTGGCTGTCTACTTTTACTTTCCATTTGCCTAGTGCCACTGATTTACACACTGCTGATCATTTTTTCACGATACTCGTCTTTTTCTATTATTAAATATGAATTTTATGTATAAGCATTGTAGACAATGTATATAGACTTGAAGAGAAATTGTTGATGATAGTAGCATAGACGCTGTATTTTTGTTGAAATAGCACATGTGGATTTATCCTTGCAAATCACGTTACGCATTCAGTTCCATTTCCCATCATGCGTTTATTGAATTGGGTATTTGGCCATCACAATGAAGTTTCAAGCACGGTGGAATGCGATTCTCTGTAGGCATATGACTACTGTTATTCACCTGATATTTGCTTGGCGTCTATGTGCACTAAATTCCATAGTCTCTTTCAGGAATCTTTGTATTAAATTCCAAAGTTGCAGGTCCCAGTGGTATTCTAAACTCTCCTGTGTTCATGGTGATTTCTGTATGCTGAAACTTATTTTAAAAGTAGTGCTTTTGAGGCTGTAAATTTTATATATATATTACGTTTTTAATGAACATGTTAACATTGACATTATTACACTTTTTCAACGTAAATTTGCTATGTTCCTAGATTTTTTAAAAAAACATTGTTTTATGTGTTATAATTTATTTTGTATTGAATGTATTTACATCTGCGGTGTTTAAAAAATTACAAAATATAATTTTAGGTTAAAGAAAAAATTGGAGCTCTTTTTTCGCTCTCACTGTTTAAAATGAGTGATTAGAAAAGAGAGGAGAAAGAGGATTGGTGGAGTACGTTCCGATCATATAAAAGATCAATCAATTTTAATGAATGTGATTTTTTTCTTCAAACTGTGAAGTTCTTTTTTAATTGGTTTGGCATTTTATTTGTACACTAATTTAGGATTAATAGTGTTTATCAAAGTTTTTAATTTTTTAAAATGTATTTTTAGATGAAAAAAATTGAAATTTCACTCAAAGTTGCAGGTCCCAGTGGTATTCTAAACTCTCCTGTGTTCATGGTGATGTCTGTATGCTGAAACTTATTTTAAAAGTAGTGCTTTTGAGGCTGTAAATTACACTAATTTAGGATTAATATTGTGTTTATCAAAGTTTTTAATTTTTTAAAATGTATTTTTAGATGAAAAAAATTGAAATTTAGGTTATATATATATTACGTTTTTAATGAACATGTTAACATTGACATTATTACACTTTTTCAACGTAAATTTGCTATGTTCCTAGATTTTTTTTAAAAAACATTGTTTTATGTGTAATAATTTATTTTGTTTTGAATGTACTTACATCTGCGGTGTTTAAAAAATTACAAAATATAATTTTAGGTTAAAGAAAAAAATGGAGCTCTTTTTTCGCTCTCACTGTTCAAAATGAGTGATTAGAAAAGAGAGGAGAAAGAGGATTGGTGGAGTACGTTCCGATCATATAAAAGATCAATCAATTTTAATGAATGTGATTTTTTTCTTCAAACTGTGAAGTTCTTTTTTAATTGGTTTGGCATTTTATTTGTACACTAATTTAGGATTAATAGTGTTTATCAAAGTTTTTAATTTTTTAAAATGTATTTTTAGATGAAAAAAATTGAAATTTCACTAATTTAGGATTAATATTGTGTTTATCAAAGTTTTTAATTTTTTAAAATGTATTTTTAGATGAAAAAAATTGAAATTTAGGATTTAAGGTTTGAAAACTTGAATCTTAATTATTATTTTTCTTCTTCACTGAAAGTAAAATATTCAAGTTAAAGATAAGTCATATATCTGATTAACGCTATACAAGTTTATTCACGCTATATTAGTTTTTATCTTTTCTAAAAGCCTGATTTAACATAAGTTATTTTTTAAAAAAACTTGATTTGACATGTTATTTTTGAATTACTATATTAGTTTTTTTAAAAAAAGCTTGTTATTTTCATGATTCTTCAAGAATAGTATTTTACAAATTAATTTATGATGATTTAATTTGTTTTTTGTTATTTTTATTAGAATTTTTATAAATTTTATTATTTAATACTAGATCTGACAGAGTTGATTGTAAATGGAGTTTTATAATTTATTTCAATTTATTTTTTTATATTAGTCTCATGACTAGAGATATATTTGGCAAGTTAATTTAGGCTAAATAATGTTTTTATTTTTATTTTTTTTATAAGGTTATTATGATGTTACTCATTTTAATATTGAAGGATGAAATAAGAAGAAAAATCAATTTAAAAAAATTATCAAAGTGAAAAAAATAGCAATACAAGGAATGAGGATCAAAGTTGATTGATAAAAAGAAGTGAAAAAGGATGAAAATGTTAAAAAAAATATATCTCTAGTAAAAATAAATAGTAATGAAAAGAATTGGAACAAAATTTGAAATATGAAAAAAAAAATAAAGAGGGATGAAATTTAAAAAAATTATAATTTTATAAATTATTCCAAATAAAAAATAACAATTAAAAAAACATGGACTAAATTTAAAGGAATAACAAATTGAGGGTTGTTTTTAAAACTTGAAGGGGCAAGTATTAAATTGAGGAGAGAGAAAAAAAAGACATAAGCATGAAATCAGATAGTTTTATCCATATACACCATCTCATAACGACAAGAACATCTAGACAATTCCAGCACCACCATGGTAAGAAGTATTTGGTAACTAGATGGCTTTCATACAACTTCTAAAAGGCGCGAGGGTCACTCATGTGCTAACAACTATAATACATGTATTAACTATCTTTTTTTTTTAATATAACATTTATATTTGTTATATGATAAAGTTGCCCTTAAACCAACTTGATAGTAACAAAAAAATAAAAAAACCCAAACAAAAATATAAAAATGCCCTCGGATGTAAGCTAAAAAAATTCAATTTTAAAAGCATTTAAATCATTTTATTGTTCTTAAAAAATTGAAAATACAAAAAACCCTTGTATATCATCTTTAACATTTTTTTAACCTAAGGGTAGAATTGTCATTTTACTATGCATGCTAAAAGTGAAAAATACTTAATTTCCCCCTTTAAATTTGACAATGACAAATATATCTTTGTGAAATTACCAAATTACCTCCTTAACAAGTTTATTGGTTTTGTTTTGAAAGAAAAAATGAGATTTTTAATATGGATTGCTACAGTGAAAACCCCATGCCTTTTATATTTTGTTGAAGTTTAAAATAGATAATGATGTAGAAAGTGCACTACAGGTTTTTAATATAATGTTGGATATGTGTATAGTTATACGAATAACAATAATGTTATTCTAAGCTAACTCTTTTATAGGTTGTATAGAGAAGTTTTAGATATCTTTGATGATATTTATTCAGAAAGACCCAAACTAATGATATTATTAGTATATATGCCTATAGTCAATCAGTTAGTTATATTTGATACTAATTTTATTTAAATACAAATATATTTATTATTAATAAAAAAATTATTTTTAATATTCAGTTATGTTTGAATAATAAAACTAGAGTAAAGATATAAAGTAGTTGAGACAAAATGTGCTTTTGTAAATGAATTTATAATGTGATTCTAACAATGAGATTCTTATTTTAATAAAATATTGTTTTTAGATATTCTTAGTCAATTCTCTATTAAGACTTTATATTAATTTGAGCTATTAAGAATAATATATATTATATTACTTTCTTTATTAAAAAAAATAGTTATTCTAATAAGCTGAGAAATAAGAAATACCTAGAATTAATATATAGGTGTTTATTAGATGATATGTACACTAAACTCACACACATGATAATTTCATATGAAAAAATCATTTATCTTTATAGGAATACTCATGTGACAATTATATAAATGATTCTTAGACTTCAAATTACTAAGTTATCTTATATAGAGAATATTATACTTTGATCTAATTACACGTTGCATTAACCAAGGTTAATAAACGACTGGATATTAGAAATGACATGAACTATATGAAAGTAATTTAGTGATCAAGAGAGGATTCATCATCTTAGGTGAAGTAGGAAAAATATTTCACCTATTCTCGAATAATATTGATTATGAAATCTTTGCACAAGATGGAATGAATTTTAAAAAGAGTTTTACATCTTATTCAAATAATCAATGATTATATTATCGAGAACAAATATGATTTAACAAAGTATACATTCTCTTTGGTTAAATATCTAAATCAAAACATTCTTAATAAATGAATAATAATTATACTGAAAAGCTGGTCACTAAAAAATAAAATTAAAGCACTTATGACTTTTTAATATTTGATGGATCATGAAACATTACTGAACGGTGCACTTGATTTTCAAATATAAATAAATTAGTT